GACGACGACGACGACGACGACGACGACGACGACGACGACGACTGGATTTATACCCCGTCCTTCACTTGGAGTCTCAGAGAGGCTTACAATCTCCTTTCCCTTCCCCTCCCCACAACAGTCATCCTGTGAGGTAGGTGGGGCTGAGAGAGCTCTGACAGACACTGCTCTTTTTCAAGAACAGCTCTGACAGAACTATGGCTTGCCCAAGGTCATCCAGCACCTGCGAGTGGAGGAGTGGGGAATCTAACCCAGTTCCCCCAGGTTAGAGTCTTAACCACTTAACCACTACACCAAACGGGCTCACGTCAGGGCCAGGGCTTTTTCTGTGCTGGCTCCGCCCTGGTGGAACACGCTCCCGTCTGAGATCGGGGCCCTGCGAGACCCATTACAGTTTCGCAGGGCTTGCAAAATGGAGCTGTTCCTCCAGGCCTTTGGTTGAGTTGTCCGGTGTCCAATTACTTGGCCTCTCTTGGCTGAAGCTTTCCAACTGTACGCTGCCCGCATGAATAAGATCTCTATGGTGTCCTGGTGGCATGGCCTAGTTCAGTGGTGGCAAACCTATGGCACGGGTGCCATAGGTGGCACTCAGAGCCCTCTCTGCGGGCACGCGTGCCATCGCCCCAGCCAGGCCCAGAACATCATTAAAGTGTCGAATTCTCTGCCAAATAATTCTAAGTAAATGAAAGCATTTGGGATTGCTTTCCTTACTTTGTTTGGATCATCTTAAGTTAATGTATGAGTTGTTTTTTCCTAAAGTAAAACCTCAGTATTCAGGTTAGATTGCCGTGTTGGCACTTTGCGATAAATAAGTGGGTTTTGGGTCGCGGTTTGGGCACTCGGTCTCTAGAAGGTTCGCCATCACTGGCCTAGTTGCTTCCAGCCATTTAGGATCATCGAACCTGGCGAATTTATTGTATTACCTGCCTCCTTAATTGTTTTAACTATTTATTTGCTCTAATTGTTTTTAATGGTTTTGTAATTTTACCTTTGTGACCCACCCTGAGCCTGCTAGCGGGGAGGGCGGGATATATAAATAGAAATAAATACCAACCCCAGGCGATGCGTTGGCTTTGATGTGTTACATTCACATATCAGGCACAGGGCGTCTTGCGTTAAAGGTAATCCTCACCACTTCCTTGTCTCATCCCATCTCACTTTTCCCGACGACTGTTTTCTGACCTTGCCTCACTTCAGAGTCAGGGCAGGGGTGCAGGGTTGCCAGCTCCAGTTTGGGAAATTCCTGGAGATTTGGGAACTGATCTCTGTTGTATGGAGATTAGTTATAATCGCAGGAGGTCTCCAGCCCCCACCAGGACGTTAAGCCAAACAAGAGGGACCCCAAGCTTATGTGATATACAGAAATACAAACCGCAAGGATAGACCATCCAAAAATTCGCAGATTTCACAAGGTATCAGTAGACATCGGTCTGTTGCAACATAATTATAGCAAGTCAATTGATAAAGTAGAATTGGTAGTCACAATTCAAAAGCACACGTTGCAGTACAAACATTTAACAAGAGAAGGTATGACTATTCAAAGGTGGAAAAAGAATCCAACAGGAGACTCCTCTATGTCCTTTCAGTGTAATAGTGTCCAAAAGACCCTCAAAGTCCACAAACAAGGCAGAGGATGTCCCATAGCACAAAGGAACTTCTGCAGCCGAAAACATCCTTCCTAGGTATGCCTGACGTTTCAAAGCATTCTTCCTCAGTTATACGGTTGAAACATGGAACCTCATTTCCATAGTAATCTAGGCACAGCTCATATCTCAAATGGAATCTGTGGTTCCAGGACGCTGGCGGCCTTATGGGGGGGAATTGCCCATGCAACCCCCACTGTATGTGTGAACAGGGCAGACATGTGAAATGGCCCTTCCATATAATTTTTCCCCTGAGAGTCGCTGCTTCTTCAAGGGTAAGCAGGTGTTCTTAGCGGCTGACCTGTACCGAGGGTTATATCAAGCCCAGTTCTCATCCAAATTGCCTTAATGTAGGTGTGGAGGGAAATTTTGTAAACCAATTGAACCTGTATAGCAATAGGACAAAATTTCTGGATAAAAAAAGTTAAAGGTAAAGGTTCCCTTGCTCGAAAGCCAGTCGAGTCCGACTCTAGGGTTGCGGTGCTCATCTCCGTTTCAAAGCCAAAGAGCCAGCGCTGTCCGAAGACGTTTCCGTGGTCAGGTGGCCGGCACGACCAAACACCAAGGCGCACGGAACGCTGTTACCTTCCCACCGAAGTGGTACCTATTTATCTACTTGCAATTTCTTGCTTTCAAACTGCTAGGTTGGCAGGAGCTGGAACTAGAGACGGGCACTCACTCCATCATGCGGCAACTCGGGTCTAGAACTGCTGAACTACCGACCTTCCATAGCCTGCAGTTCAGCATCTTAGCCACTCGTTTTGGACCTGTGGAAAATGTATATAGCATATAAGAGATGAAAAAACTTGGAAGAAAACTTGGGATAGGTTCATTACATTTATTTCCAATATCCTCTGTTTGTTCTTTTGATGTATAGAAGTGGTGTAAATTTAAAGTTAACACTTCTTCCAACGTTCTTAGCAAATTTCTAAAGAAACAAAAGTTTTAAAAAACCGATTGTTATTACACCTTGCCTTAATATGGCATTTTAGGCTCTTGAGAGTTGGCCTAGTGATGTTTTACCAAATACACTGAAATAATTGTGCCTAACAGAATAGAGCAGATTCCCCCCCCCCTTTCTCTTTTTGCATTTCCTTCTGTTTTTAACAACTGGCATTGAAGTAAGTTACTTTTAACCTGTGCTTGCCATTGTTTGTACAATAATAGTCCTTTTTTTTAAAGCGCAAACAAAACCTTTTAAAGGGGCGCAAGGCTCAAACAAAGCAACCTGTGATTGGCTTATAAATTGTTAAATATAAATTGAATTAAAAATAACATCCGCCTTCTTTCTCCCCGCACACAATGAAAATCAATCAGCACTGTATTGAGAAAGTGGTTTCCCCTGGCTTTATCACCCCAGTAGTTAATTGCCGGCAGTGTCATATTTTTTCATTTTATAGTGGCTTAAGTGTGTTTGTATTACTGTTATCATAAAAATCTATCAGAAGCGGTGGGCGAAAGGTTACGGTATGCAGTGTATTGTTTGTTGTTCCCTTTCAAGCACTGAATATTTTGGGATGTGGATGCATGTTAAACGAAGCAAGTCCTCCTAGAACTCTCTCTTTCAAAGTCTCTGTGTTTCGGGAGATCTCTTAAGGCCTCCCTGTTTTCTTTCGCTGTACCTTCTTTTTAAACACTCTGAATATCTGCATGCGGATCCAAGGCCATTTCCTGTCTGCCCCATACTGTTTGAAGCAAATCTCAGTTTTGTAGATTTTCTGGTCCTGGGTTTGGAAATACCTGGATATTTGGGGAGGGGGGAAACCAGAGGAGGGGAGAGTTTGGGAAGGGGAAAGACCTCAGCAGGGTACAAGGCCATAGAGCCCACCCTAAAAAGCATCTCCTTTAACGGGAGATGTTGGCAAGAGGCAACATCAGGGGAAGGCCTTGGTTTTTAATGCCCTGGTAGTTGGACCTCCAGAGGAACGGGTTGGCTACTGTGTGAGACAGGATGCTGGACTACATGGACCACTGGTCTGATCCAGCAGGGCTCTCCTTATGTTCTTATGAAGGCGTCGGCCTCTATGCCCTGTTGTTGGCTGTCCAGAGGAACTGGTGGGCCATTGTGGGAGGCAGGATGCTGGACTAGAAGGACCACTGGTCTGATCCAACAGGGCTCTTCTTATGGTCTTATCAGGGGAAGGCCTCAGCCTCTATGCCCTGTTGTTGGCCCTCCAGAGGAATTGGTTGGCCACTGTGAGACAGGATGCTGGACTACATGGACCACTGGTCTGATCCAGCAGGGCTCTTCTTATGTTCTTGTGAAGGCGTCGGCCTCTGTGCCCTGTTGGACTTCCAGAGGAACTTGTTGGCCACTATGTGAGACAGGATGCTGGACTAGATGGACCACTAGTCTGATCCAACAGGGCTCTTCTGATGTTCTTATGTTGTATCTGTTTCTCGCTTAGAACCAGCGCCTGAGTCTGTGCTGGGAATGTATGGCTTTCCCGTAGATGGAACGCAGACCAGACTCTACACCAATCACGCTCTGTCTTATGACCAAGCAAAACGGGTACCGAGGTGGGTGATCGAACATATCTCCAAACACAAGACTGTGGGTAAGTAAAACACACACGTGTGCATTGTAATTAATCTCTTAGAGGTACTCTTAGAGGAGAGCCAGTTTGGTGTAGTGGTTAAGTGCACGGACTCTAATCTGGGAGAACCGGGTTTGATTCCCCACTCCTCCACTTGCACCTGGCTGGATGACCTTGGGCAAGCCGTAGCTCTGATAAGAGCTGTTCTTGAAAAAGAGCAGTTTCTGTCAAGAGCTCTCTCAGCCCCACCTACCTCACAGGGTGTCTGTTGTGGGGAGGGGAAGGGAAAGGAGTTTGTAAGCCGCTCTGAGACACCTTTGGGTAGTGAAGGGCAGGGGATAAATCCAATCTTCTCCTCGTCCTCCTCCTCCTCCTCCTCCTCCTCCTTCTCCTTCTTCATAGGCGATGCAGATCAACATTGTTCTAAAGATCTTTCCCAGTCTCACAGTGATTGTTTAGGGCGGCCCAGAGGTCTGACCCATGGATGCTGTCACATCTAGTTTGGCTCTTAAGCAGGAAAAATTTTGAGTGGCTACTTACAGAAAGTTTTAATGGGCTGTGGGCCTGCACCTGTGACCCCCACGGCAGCCAACAGGAAAAGCCGCCTATATACTTTGCCACAAGAGTTTTGTTAAAAAGTGGCTTCTTGCTGCCTCCTGTGCTGAAATGCAAAATCAAGCATCCTGGGTTGGAGCAGGTGGTTGGCTACAAAACAATACTCGTGTAGCTCCACCATGGTTCCAGTGTAAAAACCACCACCACCACCCCGTACACACACCCTGGCCACAAAAGGGTTGCATCTCTCCTCTGTGTCCAATTTGCCTTAGTGGCAAAGGAAAAAAGCCCAGCTGTCCTGGTTAATAGAAGTAATTATTGCTTTTCATGCCCAGACAAAATCTTTGGCTGTCTGAAAAAGCATAAATGAGCTGCCTTTTTTAGTAATCTTATTGTCGTCTGTGGCAGGGCTCTGTAGTGGTCAGTGAACACCTATGCTGTTTATGGGGGTCAAATAAACCTAACCCAGGGATCTTTGTAGCGATAGGTTGCTGCGCTTCATATCCTACTGCAAGTTAGTGGGCATTCTAACTACTGCAAGTTGGTGGGTGAGAGCCAGTTTGGTGTAGTGGTTAAGTGCTCAGACTCTAATCTGGGAGAACCGAGTTTGATTCCCCACTCCTCCACTTGCACCTGGCTGGATGCCCCTGGGCAAGCCATAGTTCTGTCAGAGCTGTCCTTGAAAAAGAGCAGTTTCTCTCAGAGCTCTCTCAGCCCCACCTACCTCACATGGTGTCTGTTGTGGGAAGAGGAAGGGAAGGAGGTTGTAAGGCGCCCTGAGACTCCAAGTGAAGGTTGGGGTATAAATCCAACCTCCTCTTCTTCTTGTCTTCTTCATTCTGGATGAATTGAGTGATGTCTGCATACTGCTGCCGCTATTTGGTGTAGTGGTTAAGTGCACGGACTCTAATCTGGGAGAACCGGGTTTGATTCCCCACTCCTCCACTTGCACCTGGCTGGATGACCCTGGGCAAGCCATAGTTCTGTCAGAGCTGTCCTTGAAAAAGAGCAGTTTCTCTCAGAGCTCTCTCAGCCCCGCCTACCTCACAGGGTGTCTGTTGTGGGGAGGGGAAGGGAAAGGAGTTTGTAAGCCGCTCCGAGACAATGGAATAAGGCCAAGGTTGGGGGTTGGGTTTCCCTTGTCTGCATGCTTTGTTCTTGTGAAAGAGCCAGCTTCTCTTAAGAACATCAGCAGAGCCCTGCTGGATCAGACCAGTGGTCCATCTAGTCCAGCATCCTGTCTCACACAGTGGCCAGCCAGTTCCTCTGGAGGGCCAACAACAGGGCACAGAGGCTGAGACCTTTCCCTGGTTAGCCTGTAAGAATGGCCCTGCTGGATCAGGCCAGTGGTCCATCTAGTCCAGCATCCCGTCCCACACAGTGGCCAACCAGTTCCTCTGGAGGTCTGACAACAGAGCACAGAGGCCGAGGTCTTCCCCTGATATGAGCATCAGAAGAGTCCTGCTGGATCAGACCAGTGGTCCATCCAGTCCAGCATCCTGTCTCACACACTGGCCAACCAGCTCCTCTGAAGAACAGGGCATAGAGACCGAGACCGTCCCCTGATTTTGTCTCCTGTCACTGGGATTCAGAGGTTGACTGCCTCTAAACATGGAGGTTCCCTTTAGTGACCATGGCTGGTAGCCACTGATAGACCTGTCCTCCATGAATCTGTCTAATCCCCATTGAGAGCTGTCTATGCCTATGGTTATCACTGCATCCTCTAGCAGCAAATTCTATTGAATGTGGATCCTTATATGGACTCCCCCCTCATTTACATCTAGTTTGTATTATGTCCTCGACCTGCTCCACGTCTTTACTGCAATCATTTTCAGATTGTTCAGGGGAACCATTTCCTCGAAAGGTTGTCAGGGGACCTTTGCCAAAAAAAACCCATCAGTACCGGAGGCCCAGCTTTCCTGGAAGACCGTGTAGCTCGTTACTACCCGTCTTCCTTCAGATGCGCAGCCTCCGTTTATTGAGCTCATGAGAGCACATTCTCTGTTTGCACAGGATGACCGTGAGCCACTAGAGGCCCGGCCAAGTGCTTTGTGTGAAATGAGTGCATGCCCCAGGATTCTCGTTTATTTTGTATTTCCGCAAGTTGCTTTTGTGCATAGGGTTTCTCATTCACTTATTCGTAAAGCGCCCCTTTATAAACCCTTTGCTGTCCTGTTCCTCAGGCGATGCAGACAGAAGACATTGTAAGTTCAGGCCAGACCCCACCATCCCTCCACTCTTTAGTGCCGTGAACGAAGACTACATCGGGAGTGGCTGGTCACGAGGCCACATGGCGCCGGCGGGAGACAACAAATACTCTCCAGTAGGACTCTTTGCTTAATGCTTGGTTCTTTGTGTCTTTGAAGGGCAAGATTTTTTTTAAAAGTCACATTATGATGTTTTCAGTAGAACTAGATCTTGTATTTGAAACATGGGACTGGGGAACAGAAGAAGAAGAAGAAGAAGAGGAAGAAGAGGAAGAGGAAGAAGAAGAAGAGGAAGAAGAAGAGGAAGAAGAAGAAGAAGAGGAGATTGGATTTATAACCCGCCCTTCACTACTCAAAGGTGTCCCAGAGCGGCTCACAAATTCCTTTCCCTTCCCCTCCCCACCACAGACACCCTGTGAGGTAGGTGGGGCTGAGAGAGCTTTGACAGAAACTGCTCTTGAGAGAACAGCTCTGACAGAAGAAGAAGAAGAGATTGGATTTATACCCCGACCTTCACTACCCAAAGGAATCTCAGAGCGGCTTACAACCTTTCCCTTCCCTCCCCACAACAGACACCCTGTGAGGTAGGTGGGGCTGAGAGAGCTCTGACAGAAGCTCTTGAGAGAACAGCTCTTATCAGAGCTACGGCTTGCCCAAGGCCATCCAGCCAGGTGCAAGTGGAGGAGTGGGGAATCAAACCTGGTTCCCCAAGATTAGAGTCCGCGCACTTAACCACTACACCAAACTGGCTCTCGGGAAAAATGGATTCTGTTCGTCACTGTGCGGGGAAAATGTTTTGTGATCGTAGGCAAATCTCTCAACTTTTGCATCAGACCCCTAATTATCTGGACAGAAGCAAGCACAGTGTAGTGATTAAAGATGCTGGATTAGGATAAGGAGACTCAGGTTCGAATCCCCACTGTCCCATGGAAGCTGCTGGGTGACCTTGGGCCAGTCACGCCCTCAGCCTCACCTACCTCACAGGGTTGTTTTGAGTATGAATTGGAAGAGGGGAAAGTGATCAGGAATGGACTGGCCATTATAACAAGCAAGGAATTTCCTGGTGGGCCAGTACCTGTCTCCCCCCCCCCCTTTTGGGCTGTACCCTTCCTAGGGAAAGTGACTTCTGACCTAGGTGAGCTGGGTGTACCATGCATGTGGCCATACCTGGGCCTGGTAGAGCTGCAGGAGGCACCCAGCTGAGCCACAGGAGATGCGAGGCTGACTGCTGGCTATTTCTCCCCCTCCCCCCCCGGTCCTTCGTGGGGGCAGTGCCTGGGTGGGCAAGGAGGCGGGGCCGTTGTCCTAGGCCATTCTTTCCTCCCAGTCCACCCCTGAAAAGTGACGTATGCTCCCCTAAGCACCTTGGCATAAGGGCCAGATGTCACGTTCCTGGGATCACTGCAGATGGTGACTACAGCCATGAAATTAAAAGATGGCTGCTCCTTGGGAGGGAAGCGATGGCAAACCTAGACAGCATAATAAAAAGTAGAGACATCACCCTGCCAACAAAAGTCCGCATGGTCAAAGCAATGGTATTCCCAGTAGTCATGTATGGCTGCGAGAATTGGACCATAAGGAAGGCCGAGCGCCAAAGAATAGATTCTTTTAAACTATGGTGCTGGAGAAGACTCTTGAGAGTCCCTTGGACTGTGAGGAGATCAAATCAGTCAATCCTAAAGGAAATCAACCCTGACTGTTCCCTGGAAGGCCAGATAATGAAACTGAAGCTCAAATTCTTTGGCCACCCAATGAGAAGGGAGCCCTCACTGGAGAAGACCCTGATGCTGGGAAAGACTGAAGGTCAAAGAAGACGGGGCCGGCAAAGGATGAGATGGTGAGACAGTGTTATCAATGCAACAAACATGAAGTTAAGCAAACCCCAGAGCACGACAGAGGACAGGAGGGCCTGGCGTGATGTGGCCCATGGGGTCGGGAAGAGTGGGACTCGACTGTGCGACTGAACAACAACAACAAATAACGCACTCAATAAATAATGTAAAAACTTTACTTAATTTTAAGACTCAGGTCTTAGACTCTGCTGGTGTGGTGGCTGGGCATTACTATTTTGTGTCTCAGTGGGCTAGCCTGTTCTTCAACTTGTTTGCTGTTAACAAAACAGCAATAGGTTAACATTTGGATGTTTAATTTTGCTTGCTAACGAGCGCTTAAGCTGTTCTAGGCACCCATCCAAAACTGAGTTCCAGTTCTTTTTGATTTGCAGAAAGCCATGGCAGAAACGTTTTATCTCTCCAACATTGTGCCTCAGAACTATGAGAATAATGCCGGATTCTGGAACAGGTATGTGGTTGCGAGATCCACTTAAGTATAGTGCAAAAACCGGTTCACTATTAATGATACATTTTCACATTTACTTATTCAGAGCATTTTAACACCGCTGTTCCAGGAAGACCATGCCCACCCACCTTAGGTCCTGAGATACTTGGGAGAAAGTGTCATATATAAGTATTTTCAGTGAATAAATAAAATGTACAAAGTGGCTTGCAGAAAGATAAAATAAGCAAATTCTGTATGGCTGCAGTCATAAAAACAACAGTTAAGCAAATCTAAGGATCTAAACCCTTATTCAAATCTAAGGATAGAATCATAGAATAGAATCATAGAATGTTAACGTTGGAAGGGATCTTGCAGGTCATCTAGTCCAACCCCCTGCACTCTGCAAAAGCATAGCCGAAAGATAGCCCTACAACGTACCCGAAAGATGGTCGTCCAGCCTTACAGTTAGGAAGTTTCTCCTGATATTTAGCCGGTGACTCCCTTGTAATTTCCACCCATTAGATCTAGCCTTGCAATCTGGAGCAAGAGAGAATAGATCCGCTCCATCTACATGACAGCCCTACAAATACTTGAAGACTGCAATCATGTACCTTCTAAGCCTTCTCTTTCCCAGGCTAAACATACCCAACTCTTCCAGCCTTTCCTCATAAGACTTGGATTCCAACCCTCTCATTATCCTGGTTGCCCTCTTCTGGACACGCTCGAGCTTGTCAACATAAGGGATAAAACCCTTATTCAAAGGCCTTCAGGAATGAGGTCAAATGGCTTCCAATGCACGGGCTATTTGAAGCTCCAGGGGGAGGGAATTCCAAAACTGAGGTTATATGAAGCTGTAGAGGGGGGCAATGCTCCCTCTAAGCTGTGGAGTCTTGTGAGCAAAAATTCTACTTTGTGAGCTACCAGCATTAAAGTTGTGAGCTAGCGATTTGGCTGCTGCATCAAATGAGTTGGCTCTGGAGCCACCCTTCCTGAGTGGAGACAAAAATGTGTGAGCCAGAGGCTAAGAAACTGTGAGCTAGCTCACACTCACTCGGCTTAGAGGGAACACTGGCAGGGAGGCAATTCCAAATTTTAGAGATGGCTGCAAAGAAGGCTTTATGCAGGTCCCCAGTAAATGTACCCTTGTCAGTTTAGAGACCAAGAAGATTTTTGGGATTTGAGCTTTCAGGACTCAAATCTTTGTTTGTCAGACACAAGTTGGAATGGAGATCTCTGAGTCCTTATATCCCAGTCAGAAGGTGGGAGACTGGGATATAAAGACTCAGAGATCCCTATTCTAACTTGTATCTGACACAGACAGCTTTGACTGTCGAAAGCTCCTACCCCGAAAACCTAGTTGGTGTCTCGGGTGCCACTGGACTTGAACCTACCTGTTGTACTGCAGACCAACACGGCTACCCTCTGCAACAGCCCTCGAATGGTGCCCAGAAACAGGCTTGGGGGCCAGCATCGTGATTGGCTTAACATGCTTAGTGTGGCCAGCACCAGTTAGCGGCCTGAGTGACATTTTTTGAACCGGTGGAAGTTTCCAGACAATCTTCAAAGGCAGCCCCATGCAGAACACCTTACAGTAGTGCAGTCTGGAGTCCAGCGAGGCATGTGCGACAGTGGCCGGCTCTGCTTTCTGCAGGAGCAGCTGCTGCCAGAGAACCAGGCTGCGCTGGTGAGAAAGCACGCCTAGCTACTTCTGCCTCCTGCTTATTTAGGGACAGAGAAGAAGAAGAAGAGGAGGAGGAGATTGGATTTATACCCCGCCCTTCACTCGGCGTCTCAGAGCAGCTTACAAACTCCTTTCCCCTCCCCTCCCCACAACAGACACCCTGTGTTTCGGTCCCCTTGAGGACTGGGATTTGGCCCCACCCTCTTTTCCCTTCCACCCCAGCCATGCTAACCTCCAGTGGGAGAAGGCATGGCACCCTGTGAGGTCGGTGGGGCTGAGAGAGCTCTGAGAGAACTTGTGACTGACCCAAGGTCACCCAGCTGGCTGCATGTGGAGGAGTGGGGAATCAAACCCGGTCCTCCCAGATGGGAGTCCACCACTCTTAACCACCACACCAAACTGGCTCTCCAGGGGGAAGGGAATTCCGAGAGCAACCAACTGCAAACTTGCTTTTCGGGAGCGCAACCCTTGTGCGCAAGTGTGATGGCTGTGTGACCACAAGAGCGAGTGTGCAGCATACCAAAGGACAACCCCATGGAATTCTGTACCCTTGAACGCACGTAGAACGTCACATCTAGTCTGGCCCTAGATCTAATCCTGTGCCGCTGCACGGCTCTTTCTGTTATGATTCACCCCGAACTGGAGAAAGTAAAAATCAGAAGTTGAAAAACACGGACTCGAAGGAAAAGACATAAAGTAGGCAAAACTAAAGGGGAGGAGAGAATGGGCAGAACGGGATTGCCGGTTAGGTGATTTACCCAGAAACCTGCTTATGCAGCGGGAGGGCAAGGAACGGCGCAGACGCCCGTGCAGCGTTCACATGTTTATTTATTTATATATATAATTTATCCCATCTTGAAGGCTCTGGGGGCGGATAACAATTTGAAGCATAAATCCGGTGAAACGGAATAAAATTCAATTAATTAGGCACACGCTGCCGCAGGAATAAAATTAGCTTTGCTTCCAGCAGAGTGTGCAGTATGAGAATGGCTTCTGTTAATTCGGCTGCGGCTGTTGTGGGCGAGGCCGTGAAGAGTCCCCTGCTCCCGCTTGTTGCTCACGTAAAGTCTTACCTCCGCACGTCCGGCCTGGTGCAAACACGGCACACGGTCCCCACAAATCGCCAGGGTTCAAGTAAAGCGCCGTCTCCTCAAATCCAGTGACTGTGAGATATAGATAATGAATCTCCACTGATAACTCCGCCGAATTACAAACCAAAACAGTACAAAGATCAAGCACTCGAGGGAAGTAGCAGATGTCGAAAAGGAAGTGTGATCTTAAATAAATTACTCTGGGACTTTTCACAAATAATATATTTGGGCTTACCTGGTGCTAACAAGATTCTCATTCAAGACTTGCTTTAATGTCCAGGCATAGGCTGCTTTAAAAGGGGATTGGATTCATAGAGGGCAGGTCTTCAGTGGCCACTAGCCATTATGGTTAAAGAGAAGCACCACATTCAGAGGCAGTAATCCTCTAATTACCAGTGCCAGGGATAATGCTCCCTCTAAGCTGTGGAGTCTTGTGAGCAAACATTCTACTTTGTGAGCTCCTGGCATTAAAGTTGTGAGCGAGTGATTTGGCTGCTGCAGAAATTAGTTTGCTCTGGAGCCATCCTTCCTGAGCGAAGACAAAAATGTCTGAGCTGGAGGCTAAAAAGCTGTGAGCTGGCTCACACTAACTCAGCTTAGTGGGAACATTAGCCAGGAGGCAACATCAGGGGAAAGCCTTGGCTCTCTCTGTGACAGATTTTTACATTCTCAGCAGATGTCAGCAAATGCCTAGAATTCCCTCTCCTCTCACAGGAGCGAAGGTAGCTCTTATTATATATGGAAGTGAAATAGCATTTGAAATAAGGTTAACTTGAGGTGGGGGGACCCCACTTGTTGGTATTTCGTGGCTCAATATCTTCTCAAAAACCTGAGGGGCAAAGAAAAGAGAATCTTGTTAACCTTGGAAAGGTGAGGCTTTTGGCTAATGATGGTGAGCAAAGATACTTCTTTTTGCAAATAGAGGAAAATGAACAGGAGACCCAGTTTTGGTGTAGTGGTTAAGAGGGCGGACTCTAATCTGGGAGAACTGGGTTTGATCACGTTTGATCAAGACTCCTCCACATGCAGCTGCTGGCATAACCTTGGGTCAGTCACAAGTTCTCTCAGAGCTGTTCTCTCAAGAGCAGTCCTCGAAAGAGCTCTCTCAGCCCCACCTATCTCACAGGGTGTCTGTTGTGGGGAGAGGAAAGGAAGGAGATTGTAAGCCCCTCTGAGACTCTGAGTGAAGGATGGGGTGTAAATCCAGTCTCCTCTTCTCCTCTTGGTTTGCAGTAAGATCCCAGCACTCCAAGAAAAAATGGGAGAGCCAGTGTTGTGTAGCAGTTGGAATGCTGGACCAGAGTTCGGGAGTCCCAGTTTCAGATCTCTGTTCTGCCATGAAGCTTGCTGGTTGACTTTGGGCCAGTTGCTCTGTCTCAGTCTGACATTCCTAGCAGGGCTGTTGTAAGGATAAAAGGAGGAAGGGAGGGCAATGTAGGCCATTTGGAGCTTCTTGGAGGAAGGGCATAAAAACCAGGGGTCATTTCGTAGAAAAAGAGGTGCAGGAGCTCATTAGCATAACTCATTTGCATATGCCACACCCCCTGACATCACCAGAAGTGTGTCAGAAGGCAACACCCACCGCTCAGGCTCCACTGGACTGTTTTGGATTGCTGGCTATTGGGGGGGGGGAGATGCAGATCTGTCCTCGCAGAAGAGGGAGAGCTTGTACCCGAATAAAACTTGGTCTTAAAGGTGCCACTGGACTGTTTTGGACTGGGGGGGCGGGGGGGCTCTGCAACTTACCTGGTTGCTTCTTGCTCTGACTGAGGGCTGCTGGGAGCAGGGGGTGGGGCTTGTTGCATGTGTCCGCCCCCTGGGCTCTTTACTGCCGGAGCTCCGCTCCTGTGTGCTCCTGCAGGAAATGACCCCTGATAAAAACGTACTACATAGATAAAATTAACCTCTGTGTTAACGTCCGGCCTATGTTTATCCATTAAATTAAATATAACGAACGTAGGAAAAATAGTCTACCTTCCTACAAAAAGCCTACATGTCTTTCTTTGTTCCTGGGATTGTTACTTTCTCCGCCGCCCCAATCCGGGCCTTTTACTTACCCTGTCTGCCTGGAATATTTACAGAATGGAAATGTATTGCCGCGAACTAACAGAGAGATTTGAAGACGTGTGGATCGTTTCGGGACCTCTGACGTTACTTCAGGTCGACGAGGACGGGAAGAAAAGAGTCACTTATCAGGCAAGTGCTTCAACCCGGTGAAATCGGAATGAATGTGTCCCTTGGAATGGCTGCATCTGAGTACAGTAGCGCCACTGAGGTGTAGCCCCACCAAGGAGATTGCTGCCTGACGCCCTCTGCGCCCTTCACTCTTGGCTCGCTCCATGGTTTACCCAGGAGCTGCAGCTGACGAAGCGAGGGCTAAGACGGCTAGAGAGACAGTGGCAGTGGCTCAGAGGTTAAGACGCTGTGCTGTAGACCGGAAGGTCCGTGGTTCGGCAGTTCGAGACCCGAGTGCCGCGTGATGGAGTGAGCTCCCGTTTCTGGCCCCAGCAGGTAGATAAATAGGGTACCGCTTCGGTGGGAAGGTAACAGCGGTCTGTGTGCCTTGGCGTTTACTCCACATGACCACAGAAACGTCTTCGGACAGCGCTGGCTCTTCGGCTTGGAAACGGAGATGAGCACCGCAACCCTAGAGTTGGATTCGACTGGCTTTCGAGCAAGGGGAACCTTTGCCTTTATGAGGTGGCAGTCAAAACCACAAAGAGAGAGTATTATATGGCTGTGATTGCGTCTGCAAGCTCACGCCTAGCCCAGTTGTTTAGAATGATTTGGTCCATTACCGCTCTGCTGCAAGGCAGACCAAAACCTAGGGAATTGGCTATTGGCTGTGAGGCTTTTGCGAGCTATTTTGCAGATAAAGTCTTGGCGCTCCACCTCGACCTCCCCACTACAGTTGACACAGTGAGCAAGCTCGTGGCTCCATGCAGGTCTTCTAGTCAAGTTATGGATCATTTCTGTCCGCTCAGCCTAAAGGAGGTCGACAGATTGCTCCTAACTACACCCTGCCACTTGCTTCCTCGACCCGTGCCCTTCGTGGCTAATTAAAGCTGGCCATGAGGGGTTTCGAGGTGCCTTGTGGGAAATTATCAACAAGTCCCTCTTGGAGGAACTGTTCATTGAGTCATTTAAGAAGAAGAAGAAGGAGAGATTGGATTTATATCCCGCCTTTCACTACCAAAGGTGTCTCAGAGTGGCTTACAAACTCCTTTCCCTCCCCCTCCCCACAACAGACACCCTGTGAGGCAGGTGGGGCTGAGAGAGCTCTGACAGAAACTGCTCTTTTTCAGGAACAGCTCTGACAGAACTATGGCTTGCCCAAGGTCGTCCAGCAGGTGCAAGTGGAGGAGAGGGGAATCAAACCCGGTTCCCCCAGATGAGAGTCCGCGCTCCTAACCACTTCACCAAACTGGAAGCAGTGGTCCGCCCTCTCTTGAAAAAGCCATCTTTGGACCTGGCCAGATAGGCTAACTGTTGGCTGGTCTCCAACTTGCCGTGTTTGGGCAAGATAACAGAGAGTGGAGTGGCAATTCAGGGCTTTTTGGATGACACTTCCATCTTAGACCCCTACCAGTCTGGCTTTCACCGGGATCTTGCAACGGAGACAGCACTGGTTGCCCTCATGGATGACCTTAGGAGGCATCTGGATCGAGGCGGATGGGCAGTGCTGCTGTTGTTGGACCTGTCGGCAGCGTTCAGAATGGTTAGCCATCAGCTACTGGCCCACCGCCTCCCCAACGCTGGAATTCAGGGGCTGGCCTTGCAGTGGCTTGTCTCCTTTCTCCAAGGTCGGGGACAAAGGGTGGCACTGGGGGGATCAGCTATCCCGGAGGCACCCACTGGACTGTGCGGAGTGCCTCAAGGGGCAGTGTTGTCCGTGATGTTATTCAGCATCTACACGCGCCCCCTTGCCCAGATTGCACGGAGACATGGGCTGGGATGTCACCAGTATGCGGATGACACCCAGCTCCATCTGTCGTTGCGTGGCCAGTCTGACTCCAGACCAGAAGATCTGGACCGGGCGCTACAAGCCGTGGCTGGTTGACTTAGGCTGAGTCAAGTGAAATTGAACCCACCGAAGACAGAGGTCTTGTGCCTGAGCCGGGGCGGCCCGAGGGTAGGGATCCCGCTCCCAACCTTTGATGGGGCACCATTGGTGCCAGCGCCGGAGGTTAGGGGTTTCGGAGTGCTCCTGGATGCCTCCTTAACTATGGAGGCCCAGGTAGCAGCCACTGCCAAATCGGCCTTTTACCATCTTTGGCTGATCAGGCAGTTGGTTCCCTTCCTCGGACGCAACAACTTGGCAATAGTGATCCATGCGATGGTCACTTCGAGATTGGACTACTGCAATGCTCTCTACAGGGGGCTGCCCTTGTCTCAAATCCAGAAGCGGCAGGAAGCTCAGATCTGGAAGGTGCAGAATGCTGCGGCCAGGCTCCGGATGGGGCTCTCTATACGGGAGCACTGACAGACTGTGCTAAAGGCATTGCACTGGCTGCCAAGTTGCTGGTTCTTACCTTTAAAGCCCTTTATGGTCAGGGACCTACATACCTGAGGGAACGCCTTTCCCCACATGTCCCCCAGAGAGCATTGTGATCGGGCTCAGAACCGACTGGCCTTCCTGGGTCTTAAGGAGGCTAGGCTGTCGGCAACCAGGACCAGGGCTTTCTCGGTGGTGGCTCCGTTCTGGTGGAATGAGCTCCCGGAAGAGATCAGGGCTCTGCAGGACCTCTCACAGCTCCGCCTATAAAAACAGGCTTTCGGGAGCCGCCGCCACGATCAATAATTAACAACTAACAGTGGAATGAGAGAGGGCCCTGGATCCCTGGAATTTCCACCAAGAGCCTAAAGGACATCAACCACCTCAAGGACAATTAAAAAGGAAGACTTGTGAGCCGACTGTGAATTGAGAGCATCGAATAATGGCTGCCACCCTCCAATCGATAATAACGTCTACTAGAGCTTCATCACGTTAGATGGTTTTACAATTGTTTTAATTGTAATTTATGTTTTAATGTGACTTACCTGTTTTATGTAAGCTGCCCTGAGCCAGCTCTGGTTGGGAGATCGGGGTAGAAATTCGACAAATAAATAGAAGAAGAAGAAGAAGAGATTGGATTTATACCCGGCCCTTCACTACCCAAAGGAGTCTCAGAGCAGCTTACAATCTCCTTCCCCTTCCCACAACAGACACCCTGTGAGGTAGGTGGAGATGAGAGAGCTCTGACAGAAACTGCTCCTGAGAGAACAGCTCTGAAAGTACTTGTGGCTGACCCACGATCACACCAGCAGCTGCATGTGGAGGAGTGGGGAATCAAACCCGGTTCTCCCAGATTAGAGTCCGCGCACTTAACCACTAAACAAACAAGTTTTTCAGGGTATCAGCTTTCAAGAGTCAAAGCTCTCTTCATCTGATGATTCCAGTATTTGAGGAAGGGAGCGTTGACTCTTATGCTCACCAAAATCTTGTTGGTCTCTGAGGTACTACTGATCTTGAATCCAGCTCTTCTACTGCAGACCAATATGGCTTCCCTCTGAAACATACCTGGAACAAAAACCTGTCATTAGGCTATTCATTCATTCGTTCATTTACTTATTTATTTATTGAATTCAACTTGGTAGGCCACCATCCCCTGCAAGCAGGGCTCAGAGCCGCTTACATCAAAACCAACACAATAATAATCCATTAAATAACATTTAAAAACTACTAAGAACAATAGGGGCTGTGGTGGCTCAGAGGTTAAGGCGTTGAGCCAGTTCGAGACCCAAGTGCCGCATGACCGAGTGAGCTCCCGTCTCCGGCCCCGGCTCCTGCCAACCTAGCAGTTCGAAAGCAAGGGAATTGCAAGTAGATAAATAGGTACCGCTTTGGTGGGAAGGTAACAGCGTTCCATGCACCTCTGCATTTAGTCATGCCGGCCACATGACCACGGAAGTGTCTTCGGACAGTGCTGGCTCTTTGGCTTGGAAACGGAGATGAGCACCGCCGCCTAGAGTCGGATTCGACTGGCTTTCGAGCAAGGGAAACCGTAACCTTTAAGAACAATAGATTAATCAAACAATACATCACATTGTCTAAGATGACGAGAATTCTTAGGATTTGTCAGGACTGCATGCATGGGAAAGGAGAAATTGCAGCTGGTGAAGGTACAGTTTTAGGCAGGGATCATTTCATAGAAAAAGAGGTGCAGGAGCTCATTAGCAGAACTTATTAGCATAACTTATTTGCCTTCCGGAAGTGTGTCCGAAGGCAACACCCACCACTCAGGCTCCACTGGACTATTTTGGATTGCTAGCTATGGGGGTGGGGGGAACGTGCAGAGATCAATCCTCGCAGAGGAGGGTGAGCTTGTACCTGAAGGCGGGCCAAGTTGCAATTCAGCTTTGCAACTTACCTGGATGCTTCTTGCTCCTCATGGCCTGACTGAGGGCTGCTGGGAGCAGGGGGCGGGGCTTGTTGCACGTGCCCGCCCCGTGGGCTTCTTTACTGCCGGGAGCTCCGCTCCTCTGCGCTCCTGCAGGTAATGATCCCTGGTTTAAGGAAATCTGTGTCCCACCTCTCCAAATGCGGCTCGCAGAAGTTATCCGTACAATAAAACAGTTCAGTAAAACAAATCACGTAATCAAAGCCATTGATTGCCGGTGGAAATTTCTTTTCATATTGCTCTAATATCGTCCGCAACTGTTGAAAGCAAACATGGGATTACATGCACAGAGAGAGCCTTTCTCAAAATTCCCTAAGCACGCACAGGCTTAACAAAGTTGCGGACCCCAAGATACAGGGTTAATCATAGCATTGTTCCTTTCTGTTTCTTGCACTAAAGCTAAGGGGGTTAACCTAAAGCTTCATATGTGTGGATGTAAATTTGATTTGTTGGTCGAATTTACTGTATCCCAAGTCACGTGCTCTCAGTTTGTCTGCCTTAGGAAAGCCTTTTGTTGCAAAGACAGGTTGATAAGGGTGCACAATATTTAAGAAATAACATCTGCAGAATATAAATATATGTCTGCAAACGTACAGTAAAATGCCAGCAGGAAGAATCTGTTCTGTGTCACTGGAGAGGAAGAAGCAAATTCTCCATCTTTGTCCAGGGCAAATCAAAATGACAGCGTGGTGTTTTGCACATTGCTGTTCTCCAGCAGAGAGCATCAATTCAGTGACTTCTGTCCGCTAGCAGATT